GGCGGCCCCGCGGCGGACACCGATCGGTCGGGGGACTGAGCTGTCGTGCTGCTGTGACCGGGTCCGGCCGGTCCTAACCCGATATGGTGCTACACAGGACAGCACGGCATGACATGGCGACCCGATCAACACAAGTAACATTCAGAGACCGGTGAATGCCCCTATTATGTGTGTTTTTACCGTGGGCAGTCACACGAGGCGAGCGGAACGCATGATCGAGCCCAGCTCGGGTCGCAGCTCAGCTCACCTGAGCTGTCGCTGAGTGTCTTGGTCCTAACCTTGGCTGTCATTCGCATTCCGAGAGACCGCGGGACTGACCTGAGTCGGTATTTATACGGGCGGCCCTAATCAGCAGCCACCGCCCGCCGGTGTCTGGGAACGTATCGGCTCTTTATCTCCGTGTGCCCACTCCCTCCGCGGCCGGCAGCACTGACCCGGCCGCCGTGCCGCGGTCACGCCGATGACTCAGCTCACATTAGTCGGATCCGCGTCAGAAGGGTGCCACCGGGAGTCGTCAGAGCCAGCCTTTCTTTCATCTCGTATGGTCCTACCACCTGAGCCAAACTGGGGCCGGCGCCTTTAGCAATTCTGACCAAATCAAAGGAAACTTAGACCGTTTCGAACCTGAGTTCAAGACAGGCCGCCCGCCGCAGTGCCCCTCACATTCTCTTACCGCCTCTCTGCCCTACTGAGGTCCTGAGGGCTACTGTCATCTCTCTGACCGTCCCCTGCATTCTTCTGACCGTCCGCTGACCGTTTCCCCGCTGACCGTCTGTGGACCCCCTCGTGACCTCTAGCTGGCTACCGGCTGTGGGCACCCTGAGAGGCCGTGAAGTGGTGCCGTTACCGCTGTGCGCTGGCTGAATAAGCCGGCGATGCGCCTCGTCAGCACAGCGTGGGGCTCCCCGCCGCACAGGCGCCCGTCCGCACCGGACCGGTCCTCGCAGGAACGGTGCGGCAGACCACAGTGCGGAGAGGGTACTGGGGTGGTCGGCCCTCAGCAGGCTTGGCTGGCTGGCATACAACGTGATACCTACTCCTATTGGGGACTGCGCTAAGGGATGCTCACTGCATCCCTCACTGCCCAGTACAGAGTGGGTTATGGTATGATCAACCTGCAAAGATTTAGTCATTTGTTGTGCAATGACTAAATCTTGGTTGAATCTTGGTCGCAATGGTTGAAGCATTGCGGACTGAGCTTGGTGTGACGCTAGACCACAATTGCATCAGGCTATAAAATAGGTAGTCGCTGAATGAAGTCACTGAATGGATGCGACACCTTTTAGTGGTCGTATCTTTTTGGTAATGGTTTGACTGGCACCACGATCAGCAATGCTGCGCTGACGTGGGAATCTCATGTGGTGCTGAACAAAACTCCCTGATACTTCGGTATGGATTTGGTCCAGGTGGAGGGATTCCATTGTTTTGCGGTTTGCTGCGGAGCTGGTGTGAGAATGGCTCTGTTGTGGGTCTCTGTTCGCCAGTGATAAATGGTCTAATAAATCGCCTTTGGCGTGCTCGTATTGGATTATCGGGGAAACGATCAACTAGCTATTCAAAAATCCGCCGATTTCCTTGTAAACGGTGCTTTCGATAATCGAGCATTTGTTATCGCGTGCATGCGGTTGTTATTAGCGTCAACCTCACAATCCTGACAGCGTGAACCTGATAAACTTTCCTGAAGTGGCGATCGAACGCGGCTTGTTTTATCACAAGTTGAACGATCTGTCATGATGTCATGCTAAAGACTCCACTTTGTCCTGGAACTGGCAGTTTTGCCTCGATTGTGAATGGAAACTTCAGTTTGATGGACGTTATCGACGCTTGTGTGATAAAGATTGGCGACAGATTTACGGGCTGAACGACATCGCTGAATGTTCTTGTCTGGATATTATTAGCGTCGCTGTAAGTCCTGTCAGGCGCGGATACAAGGGGGGGGGCCATGGGGGCCATGGCCCCCCCCCTTGGCCGATTTTTTTTCAAAAATAAAATAAAAAGTTAAAAAGCTGAAAAGGGGGCCTCCTGAAAATAAAGTGGCCGAAATCCGATGAGTTTTTTTTTTAACCTACCCACTTAGTTATTTCTTAGAAGACTAGCTGAGAAGACTTCTTTGTTAGAAGATTGGTAAAGCTTTTCATAACTTGGAGGTCTCTTATACTCACAGAGATGACCACTTTTACAGGGCCTCCTAACCTGCACAGAGGGCCTCCAAGCCTGCACAGATGTCCTAACAAACACAAAATCTCTTAGCCTACACAGAGGCCTCCACTCGCATCCGAACAAAGGGCCTCCTAGCCAACACAGAGGGCCTCCTAACTCACACAGAAGGTCTCCTATCCTGCACAGAGGGACTCCAAGCCTGCACAGATATCCTATTCGCCAACACAGGACCTCTTAATCTCCACAGAGGGCCTCCACTCGCATCCACACAAAGGGTCTCCAAGTCTGTACTGAGGGCCTGCGCTCTCATCTGCACAGAGGGCCTCCTAGCTATCACAGAGGGCTTCCTAGTTCACATACAAGGCCTCCTAGCAGGGGCGGATCCAGGGGGGGGGGGGCGATAGGGACTATAGCGCCCCCCCCCCCGGGCGACTTTCTCATTTTCTTTTTTTTTTGCAAAAAAAGCATGATAGGGGGCCCCCAAAAATAAAGTGGACGAAATCCAGGCTTAAACTTTTGGGGGTAGGTAGGGCCCCCATCGATGGGGGGCCCCCGATTCGGAATAGCCCCTCCCTTGGCAAAATGCTGGATCCGCCCCTGAGTCCTGTGACAGCAATCGAACCGACTGATTTAGTGTGCCGATGTCCGATGCTAGTGTCGTCTGCAGTCATTTAGCATGAAACTGCGCGTGTTTTACGCGACTCATCGGAAATGTGTGCCTTGAATAATTTTAAATTATGTACTCGCGATGCGGCTGTGGGGCTCGAAGTCGACCATCACGAAATTCCTTTCGGCTCCACCAAGGTCCAAGCGAATGGGTTTACGTCTAGACTTCACTCTGATCATGTGAAATGCACTTCACCTTTTGGGCACTCTCGGGTCAATTCGTCTAATAACCTGTTGTGTCCATATCAGGCCAGCCCCTGACGACGCCACGCCCCCAGACGCCGACATCCCATCGTCCCGACGGCCGGCCAATTTTCCGAGGGAACCTTTTTACCGGGCGCTCATATCTTTTTATTGGCGTTCGGCCGGTGTCTGCGAGTGTGACGCGTCGGCTTCGTCTCCGGCGCGCCGCTAATTGCCGGTTGTCGCTATTGTGACGCGCTGGCGGCGGTGGCGGCGCAGCGTGCTCAGTGCTAGGGCGGCGCCCTCCGACAGGCAATCAGCTGATCGGGCTGGACTGAGTTCCCGGTCGGCTCATCAGAGGATAGCCCGAGCCTGCCGCCGTGGGCTACTGCCATCAGTCTGGTCCTCAGCCCTAGCTCCACCGTCCTTAAGGTCCTCGACTCCAGCTCTGCCGCCGTCTGTCAGGTCCTCAGCCTTAGCTCCACCGTGCACCGTCAGTAAGATCCTCGACTCCAGCTCGGCCGCCGTAGGATGCCGATGTCTGTCGGGTCCTAAGCCCTAGCTCCACCAGCAGTAAGGTCCTCGGCTCCAGCTCTGCCGCTGCAGGCTGTGACGCGACGAGGCAGGAGCGGCTACCACTTCCTCAGGATGGTTTCGTCCCTCGGAATGTCTTCGTTCCTCAGGACGGTTGGTTATTATCAGTCTTAGCTCCTCGACGTCAACGTCAGATCGTAACTTGTAGCCACTCTTATAGCATGTCAGTATGGGCAAAACCAGCGATGAGAAAATGAACAAGATCATAACATGTTTGAACTCAGTAAGGTATCGTGACAACTCGCACTGGGACTGGTACCGAGCTGAGGTACCGAGCTTCCCGCTGCAGTTTGTTTTGGGTCGGGTCCTGGGCAGATCCGCTGAGGTCTGAACTGCCCGTTGCAGTGTGTTTTGGGGTGACACTCCCCGCTGAGAGATGGAGCTGCCAGCGGCGATTGCCAGCCAGATGAGGTCCGCCTTGTTTAAACGCCCGCTCTATCCCCTCATAATGAAGAGCGCCTAATGAAATCGATCCATTACTCTGGCCGTTAGGTATCCTCTGGATTAATTAGAGCTCGAGGCAAATGTCCCTGCCGTGCGATGCTGATGGGGCGGGGTTGAGGCCCCTCTCCCTCCTCCCCTCTCTTCGGCTGTACTCGAACTGAAATGAACTACTCGATTTCATCCTTTCCTTGGTCGCGGTACCTCTCTCATCGATGGCCTCAGGAAAAGCTTGGTCTTGTTGTAAAGAGAGCTTACGTCAATGCTATATGATGTCAGTGGTGCGCCTTACTCAGACGTTGATTTCATTCAGTGGTGCCCCCGGAGTCCTTTCAGGATACGAGGCCAGCCGGAACTCCGGCACCGATCCGGAATCCCCCGCCCCCGCCCTGCGTCCCCGCCGGCGGTGGCGACTCCGACTTCAAATGCGTCTTTATTCCGTTCGGGTTTTAATCAACTGTGCTTCGTCGCTAATTAAAGCTGTTTACTTTGAGATCCCAATTATACGAATCGCCTTCTAGTGGGTCCGATCAATGCCAGCAGCGCAGTCCGGGCGGCGGCCGGCCTATCTCCCCAGTCGCCAGCGTGCCGCCAGCTATGATTTCTCATTTTCTCTTTCGTTATGGCTCTAATTAGCTATCCCCGAGTTTAACTCCTTTGTTTGCCTGTGATCGACGGGCGGCGCCGGCGCCGGCCGTGGCTTTGGCCGCTGTCCAGAGGCGTGTCCGAAGCCGAGTCGCGGCAGCGCCGCAGCGAATCGACCATTGTGTTTGTGTCTGAATAAATCCACCCCGGAAACCGTGTGTCGGCGCACGGTTCGGACGGCCACCGGCAGACCGACACAGACCCGGTCTGATGGAATGGTCTGGGTGCACAGACAAACCCCTGTTAGTGATCCATGTAGTGCATTTGATGTTGCGTTCGCATCACTGACAGCTTTTCATTCTTTGTTGCAGGAGTCACCATCAAACAATTGGAAGAAAAAATCCGCCAGTTTGAAACCAATCAAGAAAGCATTATTGAGGTGAGTGTGTCTCTGCAGAATACCTGTCCTACATAGTCCGCATGCTAACTCTATTTTACGCTTTATATAAATGCATGACTAAGCCAAAGTTGCCACGCATTTGGGGCGCCGTTGAAAATCTGGGAAATACGCCAATCGAATCGCCCATTTTGCCGCTCTAAATCTGCCAGTCGTGTGGGGTGACAGTCACCCTCAAATAGCTGACCGGTGAATCAAGTGCAGCTGGCGGAACGAGTGGCGTGCTGGCTGTCGGCGCCATGCGACACTTTAGCTCCGAGTGCCCGTCACCCTGAGGGCAATGGTGCGCTGAAGACGGACGATGGAAAGCGGCGAGGACTGGGCCGTGCGCGCTGTGCCGTGCTGGCAGTAATGTGTCCGGTGACACCTCGTGGTCGTGCACCTGTGTCGGAAACGCCGCCGCCGCGCTAAAGATAGCGCCCGGCCAGTCACCCAGTCATCTGATGTTCCCGGTGCGGCCGGGTGTCACCGTTTTGCCGGCATGCTATCGGGTCAGCGGATCAGCGGTGTCATCCTGCCGGCGCCGGTGCAGTGGTACTTCCATGACCGCGTCCGCAGTTCGACGGCTCCGCGGCCCGCTCGCTTCTCTGCCCCAGTAGCCGGTCTGTCCCTCGCCCGGCCACACTTCACACGGCCGCCCCAGCTCGACCTTTATAGCCGCTAAATCACATTTATCGACGCCGAATCTGTTTCTAATAATCGGTGGCGCCGCCGGCTGCCGGCCGCCGCTGGCCGGCTGGCGCCGTTCGTCTGCAGCTCGGCGGCGGCGGGAGGGCCGTAACGAACACTGAGACCGTGCAGGAGGGCGCGCGGCGAACGGCGGCGGCGGAGACGGCGCCCGCTCCACACCTGCCACTGGATCCGGCGCCCGTTTCAGCGCTGCAGTAGCCGCGCGAGGACAAAGGACGTCTGCCCTGTCCACCCCTGCCGCGGGGTCAGTCAGCGGTCGCGGTGACGCCCCGGCGCCGCTCACTCCGGCAGGTTCAGTGCAGGGGTCGGTCGTGGCGCCTTCACCGGCCGAGTGCAGCCCATTCGGAGCGGTCGCAGTGCGCCTGGGGCGGCAGTAAATATTGTCACCGGCCGATTTACGGGCCGTGTGCGGCCGCGGCCAGATGGAGCTGTCCGCTGGCGGAGCGGGCCGACCGGGAGATGCTGGGGCGCTCCTTCAGCTGCATAATACATGAGCTGCCGGCTCCGCCTCCGCCGACGTGACAGCTTCATTGCACGGTCACTGAGACAGTCGGGATGGCGCCAGAGGGCGAATGACCGCTGCTGGCTTCCGGTCATCGGTGACCCTTGGACTAATTGCGCGCTGCATTCACGTTCATTGACGATTTAATCTGAACAGATGCTGCAGCATTAGGTACCGCCGATCATGGCGACCGTTAAAAGCTCGTAGCTTCTAACCACCAACCAAATATTCTTGGTTTCATATCTATGCTCGATGATGTCAGGCATCCATTGACTATCTGGCTGCTGTGCACCGTGACCAGTGCAGCGTTCCCTGCGATCTCCGACTCCCCAGCAGTCCCACCAGGGTCCCTCTGCCGTCTGCCGTCGAGTGCGCCGGTCCGGCCGGCCGGCAGGGTGGCGGTGGGCGTCGGATTGCACGGCCGGTGGACAGGGCCGTTCCACCCCGGCTACCGGTCGTCAGCCGGTCGCTCGTACCCCATTCATCGCCGGGGATTAGTGGAGCCCGTCGCGGCCACACCGGCACCGCTCGAGCGGCCGCGCGCCCCGTTTGGGGTCGGCTAACCGCTCGGGGGCGGAGTGCTGCGGTCGGCGGCCGAGCGGTGACGATGGTGACAATGTGACGCGCTGGTCGGTCAACCGCGGCGGACCGAGCTGTGGCGGCCGGCGCACGCACGTCACTCCACATCACCCTCACATCAGACGCCTCATCCGAGCTGACGTGGCGGCCGTGTGGTGTCACGCCGGCGTGGCGCCCACCCCTGCGACCGACCGTCGGCGTGCGGTCCCCTGTGAAGTAGACAATGTCGAATTGATCCGGCGTTTCCTGCCGGCGCTGTGTTTTGTGGAGGCTCCTCGGCGGACCCGTGCCCGTAAACCGAGCCCCGCCGCCGCGCCGCCTCAAAGGGCCGCAAAAAGGGCCCCGGCTGCCGGGGGAGCGTGCCGAGGCCTGTGACCCGTGGCGGAAGCCCGTGCCGGCCAGGCTTGTGACGATGTCTGACAGACTTGTGATCCATTGGGGTGATAGACGGCTGATCATGGAGAGCGCTAGGTCTTGAGTGCGCGGTAGAAGCGTTATGTGCTTCTCAGCCGCCACGCAGGTGTTGGCTGGCTTCTGCTGATCTCTGCATCGAATATCTGAAGGTTTTGCCATTATTGTTGGGAACTCATTGTCTGGGCTGCCGCACCTAATCGCAGCTCATAGTTCTGCATCATGGTCTCGTGTTTCAAGCGGTTTACCGGCCATTGCCACATCCTGTGATGGTTGTTATGGGGGACAGATAACGTCGCTCGTAGGTACTCTCTTTTGGAGTCGGGTTTCTTTGTGGTTTCGACAATTGGTGATTGTTTCGATAAGATGTCACACGGTCACAGACGTTTTAAAACCCTTACGCTCTGGTGGTTCTGCGCCTTGGCCCTGGTTACGTCACCATACTGGCAATCCCATGGAAGACCTTGGCTCAAATAATCACTTAATCGTCATGCTGGCGATCGTATTCGACTTCCGGCTTATTATTTCTGTCTTTTGGAGCGTGCGTTATCGCGAGATGGCTCACGAACCCCGCCAATGCCGGCCGCTATAGATTATAAATGTCATGGCGGTTCCCGAAACCTGCTGCGGCCAACTGTGGCGCCGTGCTGGCCTGCGATAGCTATCTGGCGTCATGCGCTCCTGGGCCTTCGGCCAGTCGGTATTGATTCCACAGATATCTGTGCAACATTAATGGCATGAATGATAGACAGGACTGCAGCAGCGGTCGGCGGCGGCGGTCGGGCTGGTCGGTAGGCGGACCAGCTGCAGCCATTGGTTGTTCACTTTTCTCCTGCGGCAGGGATGGGCTGGCACCGTTCGCCTATGATAACACATCAGATCAGAATATTTGTCCGTTTGCTCACATCTTGTGCTTTATCTTACGACTGCGTGTCATGTTACCTTATACAAACTAAGCCTACAACCAAAAAGAATTGGTTTCATGTCTGTGTCATTTTATAGGCTTCAATGCTCCTCAGCTACCTTGGCAGCTGTGAAAACTACTACATGTCCACCGTTCCCCACTAGAGAGGAAGACAGCTGGGCGTGGCTCTGCCTTGTCCAGTATCCCTCGCCACGCGAGGTGTCGGTAGCTGCGGGCGGGGCTGCCCGTGTCACCTGTCATTGTGCGGCGCGACCCGGCGCCCCGCCCCACCAGGTGCCTCCCTGGCCAGGTCCACGACAAATGGCCGCGCCACAGTCACCGCCGACCCGAATTTCTCCTCGGTGAAGCGTGCCTCTGCCTGCGCCCGTCCAGCTAACGGGCCATCCGTGTCTCTGTTTTAGCTTAATTGGTCATGCGGTGACGGGTTGAAGTGCGTCGCCGGCACGACCAGGGCGCATTTCACGGGACACGCACACACGTTGTCGGTGAGGCGGAGAGGGAGGTGATGGAGGGACGAACGCCAAGCTGTGCTGTCCTCAACTGAAGTGGAGATGGGTATGGAGTAGACGTAAAGGTAAATAAAGACCTCTGACACACTGAAGTCCTTCAGCTGAAGCGGAAGTGTGAGGAGTTGGAAGAAATACTGTCACGCTGTCGTGTCTTCAGCCGAGGTCGTGAGGGCTCTTTGGATGGCCGCTGTATGCATGTAAGAAGTGGACCATCGACAGGCTTGAGTGTGAAGTCCACGAAGAGGCTAAGTTCACTATACCTATTCCTCTTCTGCGTTCTTGTCAACCCCCAGTCAGGTGACATGACCTAACCTGTGTCTCTTTTGTGTTCCTCAGGAACTTACAAGGAGTTCTTATCTGGCCTAACCTGTACCTGCTCTTTGTTCTCTCATGGGTGCGCCACGGAGCTAACATATCCCTGACATCGACTCCTTTTCTGTTCCCCCTCAGGAGCGCACCAAGGAGATGGAGCGCGACCTGCTGCGTGAGTTCCAGGAGCGAGAGCAGACGTACCACGACGAGCAGCTGCTGTCGACCAGGCGGTTGGCTGAGGCCGAGCACCGCGTGGCCCAGCTGACCAGCGGTGAGTACAGTCTGATCAACCTCTCTCTTTCTCTTTCTTCTTGCACGCCACGCAAGGGCCCCCTATGGGGTCCGTTGCGGAAGCGCGTCGACTTGGGGGGGGGGGGTCGATGCGCCCCACTTTCTGGAGGAATTCCGCGTATCTTCTTGGCCGTTTCCTTGAAAATCTATCCGGAGGAACTCCGCTATCTTCTTGGCTGGTTCCTTGAAAATTTCTGATCAACCTCCCTGCTCCGGTCGCCCTTCCTCAAACCCTGCCGGCACTGGTTAATGCCAGGTCCAACCGTGGGACGGGGCTGACGGGGATTGAGCGTGAACCTGCACCACGTACGAACATGGTGCGAGGTGTTTAGACGTATGACGTGAAGACATTGGTAGCCGGTGAGGTAACCTGCTTACTTGATGTCACCCGGTGAATGGTTGCGTGGAGTGGTCGTCATGAGGAAAGCGTGGGTGTTTTCTTTCATCGGAATGATTTTACAGCGCTGGTGTTCGGGCGACTACGGCTTATTTAGCTCTCCCACAACAAAGTCTGATGGTTTACACGAGCCAGGGGATTACAATGAACAGATCGAACAGCCGAAATAAAATCAGACGATCCTAAAAGGGGATTTAAATCCGGTTTTATGTGGGCGGCTGCAGTTGGTTCAGTGCCCGTCCGGGGTGTGGATAGTTTATGTGCTGTAAAGTGGCAGCCGGGTTTCAGCTCGAGAGGAGAGAGTGGGTCGTTTTTCCCGGCCGCTGTGCGCGAACAATGCCCAGTGCTCTCGACGCGCGGTTGCAACATTGCACGCTGCTCGCCGGCACGGGTCGGCCCGATGTGCATTTGCGTCGCCCGGTGTGTCAGCGAGCGCTTTGTCTTGCCGCTCGACGGCCCGGCGCGGTGCGCTGCGCCCTGTCGAGAGGTCCGCCCGTCCGGCCGGCCGCCGGCGCCGCACGTTCTCGACGTCTGCCGCCTTTGCGGCCAGGTGCTGATTCATGACGGGCTGTGTCTGTGTGTGGACACGGCTGCCAGTGTGCAACTTTGTATGGCGCATGGAGCCCAGAGGTGGACTGTAAAGGGTATATTGTATAGTGTATGTATACTGCCTCGTCATGGTAGTCTGTCAGGGAACGTGGCGCTGACCGCTCGGCTTCTCTGCTCTGACTGTGGGTCGCGCCTTGTGTCCCCGTGGTGGCAATTCAGAGTCGCGGTCTATGCTCTTCATTTACTGACTGATTAGACGAGGGGGCCGTTCTGAATGTGCGCGGTCAAATGACTCTGCGTCGCCGCCGGCGGCTCTGAGCGCACCGAGCCTCCGCTTCAGACAGGAAGCGTGCCATTTGCCGGCGCCCGAGCACTGAGGGCGCTGAACAGTCGGCCATCTGGGCTCCGGCGTCTTATTGGGGCCCGCGTCCGGTCGCTGCCGGCTGTTGCAGGCTCTGGAATGTCGTGCCGATGCGCGACGGCCGCTGTTCCCACACCATCCATTCAGGGTCACTGGAAATCATATGCCGCTTAATTAAGAGTGTGGGAAAAGTTCGATGCGCCGCGGTCGGAAGCCGCGACGATGAACGAGCCGCCCCTTTGTGGTCGGACCAGGCGACCGGAGGCGGTGACGAGCGCACGGCGGGCGGCGGAGACGGCCAATAGCCGGGGAGGAGTCACTTGCTCGTGGTGAACTGACCTCGGCCTCCGGTCGCGGGGTCAACTGATGCGGCTGGTGGAGGTGCGTCATCCTCAGCAGGTGCTAGGATGTCATCAGACGCCATTAGGCCCTGATTGCAGACATCCTTCTTGTTGCTGACTTACCTCCCTGAGGTGTCGCGAAACAGGCGCTGCTGGTAGACCACGGTTGGATGTGGAAGAAAGCTTGCTGATTTTCAACTAAAACTGCCTAAAACGTTTTTGAACGAAGGGATAATTAAAAAATATAGCGACGTAGAAAGTATGCAAAAAAATGCAATCGCTTGGAGAAATATGCTGGCTTATGTTACACTGCAGTCGGTTTTAAGTTCACCTGACCTCGGCATACCTTTCGCCCTAATTGTTCGATTCTATTTCGGCAGCCAGTGTGGCGGCTCTCGAGCCTTCCCTGTGTGCAGCACATTAGTGAAGCTGTAGAATCAGACGTCATTACTTTGCTGGGGCGCTGCGCGCGCCGATCTAATTGGTGCCGGCCCTGATGAGAGTGGCCGGCCGGTGGCCTCCAGCTGATGACTCCCACTCGACGGCTGGCCGCCCCGTCAGCCCGTGGCACCGCCACTCCTGCCGCCGCCGCCGCTCTCCGACAGTCGCCGAGACCGACTTCAAAGGGTACGCCGATCGAATAACGTGATAGTGTCGATTCCACTAAATGAGGACGTCTGGGAGCGTGCACACCGCGCTCGGCTGGCTGCGAGCTCCGGCAACTTTTGGCGGCTCCCTGAGTGAGCTACGAGGCACCATTCGCATAGTTAGCCGCGCTGCAAGATAAAGTCGCTCGTTAGTTATACTGCCTGAGCGCCTTGTATTCCGCACTTGTGGTGCACGTCGTCGAGTGGCACGGTGATTCGCTCATCGGTCATTGGAGATGTGCGCCTGCTCGGCTCGGCGACGCAGGAGTTTTCAGCTCTTTCGAAATTCCTCCTTTCGGGCCTTCCGACCGTTTCTGGATAGTTGCGCGTTTCTGGAGCGGCGGTGTTCTGAATGTCGCCCCAGCTGCGCTCATCCCTCAGGCACGCTCTCGCATTTATGGCCGATCTGTCACCGTAGATACGGACCTGTCGCTTACTTACGCCAAAACTTGGCCCTCGATTCATATCATTTTGTGAATTTAGGGCGACTTTACGATCGCGACGCCGTCGGCGGTGTAAAAAGCGGCTGCGCAGCTGACGACTGCCTCCGGCGGCGGCGGCGGCGGCGGCGGCGGCTCACCGGTAATCGAAGCTGAGAGAGACGATGTCCGTCTCATTACCGTCCCAGTCGGGTAATCGACCATTGTGCATGCGGCAAAATCGAATGCGCTGATGCTCATTGTCCGAAGTGGTGCCGGCCTCATCAAAAGTCCATTAGCGTGTAATTATTAACAACAGCGATATCAATTTTCGCCGGGCCGAGTCACGGTGCGGTGGGGCCGGCAGCTGTCGTCGACGCCGCGGGAGGCCGCTGCCTCTGCTCCTGCCGCCGCCACTGCCGCTGTAGGTGCTGCTGCTGCCACCGCTACTGTAATTGCTGACAGTATGACACCGAGGGTGATAACATGCGGTATTGGTGACATGTTGCTAGTGAAGTCTTTGTGCCACTTTGAGTTCCGTCTTGTCTCAGTGTGGTGAAGATGTGTGTGTGCTGTGTATCTAGCTTGCCTCCCCACCCTTTGTGGTCATACCTTGTGGTCACCAGATATCAGTACCTACAGACATGATACCAGTCCTCGAGATCTGGACGTTTGAATCAATTCCTGATCAATGAATTTTATAACTTTCCTTTGTCCCGCCGATCCGGTTTAAGTTGATTCATGTATGTTTGACCTAGATTTTCTTCATTTTCAGATCTCGAACTGAGCCAAAGTGAGCTGTTCGAGGTCAAGGCCAAATATGAGGAGAACACCCACGCCAGGTAAGCATCAAACGCTGCCTTTTCTTTTTATATGACGTCATCCTTGTGGTGCGCATTTGATATACCTATATTACCTTGCGTGTAACTGTTGTGTCGTGATTCGGAGAACCGGCAGTATAATCAACCAGTTTCATGTGATATGGTTAGAACCATATCAGATATCTGTCATTTTTCTGGTTGCTGAAACGCTAAAGCTCTTGGAGAAAAATTGCTCCTGCCCCTTTTTACCCTCAAGCGCTGCTCTTCAGGGTCTCCAAGGTATTTCCAAAGGCATTGGAAGTGTTTAAGTGAAGAATGTTCACTCTGGAAGTCATATTTTGTAATTATCCGTCACTTTAATCGAACTTTTTCTCCCCCATTCACCACAACATTCACTTCTTTCAGAAAGCTACGCGTTATCTGTAACAAATGGTCCACTTTCCGGTGTGCGCGTGGACACGATTGTGGCCGGGACTCTGTCGGCCGGACCCATTGTCTGTGGCGGTGTGGGTGCGCTGGGTCATCCAATACACCGGCTCTGTGTGGCGTTGCTGCTCAACCGCTCCGTGTGCGTGCGGCTCTCCGGTTACACCCGCCCCGAGTTGCTAACATCAGCGGCACACCGCTGACCCAGCAGACCGTCAGCAGAGGTCAGCAGTCAACAGTCGGCGCCGCCGGCCGGACCCGTGGCGTGCGTTTCGACACCCGCGCGCACGCCGCGCCGCCTCCTGTCCTATCAATCGTGCCGCATGGTCATTAGGAAACGGAACGCTGATGCCCTCATCGATGGTCACGTGACTAGCCGACGCTCGGGGTGGGGCCGCCGGCGTGACCTTGACACGCGGCACGAAGTGCGAGAGGCAAATTCGTCGAACACTGCGGGACATTTCGAACGCCATATGTGCGAGAGTTGCGAAGAGACGTAGCTCCCGTGGGCTATAGTGCTCCTCTCTGTTACACAACTTGATGAATGAACGCCGTACGAAGTTAATGATCAGGCTCAGACAGAGTTGTTGAGACTAGGACCATGTTCCTGGTAGCTCACCAACATCTCCTGGCTTTGAGCTAGGTGTGCGACTCTTCGATTTAACGACGGTAATCGCGATTCATACAGCTTGTGTCTTGCAGCTTCAGCTGCCTGCTCCCCATGATTTCCGCCTCTAGCCGAAGAGATGGCGTGGAATCCGCCTGTCGCGATGCCTTGCGTGTAGTGACACTGATGTAACCCTGCGGGTTTTGTCTCCCCACAGGTCTGACGAACTGGACATGGTGTTGGAGGACCTGGAGCGTGCGAATCACGTGAGTACCCCTGGCATGCTGTATGTGCTCTCTCTCTCTCTCTCTCTCTCTCTCTCTCTCTCTCTCTCTCTCTCTCTCTCTCTCTCTCTCTCTCTCTCTCTCTCTCTCTCTCTCTCTCTCTCTCTCTCTCTCTCTCTCTCTCTCTCTCTCTCTCTCTCTCTCTCTCTCTCTCTCTCTCTCTCTCTCTCTCTCTCTCTCTCTCTCTCTCTCTCTCTCTCTCTCTCTCTCTCTCTTCTGTCTTCATCATATCTTCGTCATCGACCACACATTCTTCTTAATTAAGTGAAGGAGCAGGATCTGTGGTCTTCCACTTCGCTTCGGAACGGATACGGTATTTAACAGACGTTATGTACACGTCTCGCGGGTTTTAGCGGTAGGTTTTGCACCTAGAAAATTTAGTGTATTTCAGGCTATATCTTCGTCGTCTTCAGCTTTTAAGTGTTGAAGATGCGATCGACTTGTTGGGTAACAAGCCGGCCATGATCGTGTAAAATGGCTTCATCGTAGATCGATTAGTTTCTGAGATATAAACGGAAAGGTAAAAGTGCAAAACCTACCGCTTAATCTCGCGCGAGCCGTACCTGCCCGAGGGATGCGCCGCCACTTCCCCGGCTCCAACGTTTGGGTTTTGAATCCCACTTACCGTGGATTGCACTTCTTTCGGTTGGATGGTAACTGGTAATAACAGCACTGAGGCCAGGCTCGATGCACTTTGGGCCAGGCGGTAGTTATGAGTGCTGTTAATAAGTAATGCTCTTCCGTCTACATCCTGAACAGTGCATTTCAGGGTGCCATTGGACACCGCTCTTTACAGATTGGTTCAATAACACAGCCGAGCACTAGCGAACTACCAGCGGCGCAAATGCAGGCATGCAGTATTGTAATGAACCGTGCCCTTTCGTGTGCCAAAACGTCAAACAAGGTAATTATCGACCTCCCTGCGCAATTAAACCACAGTTTACCCTACCAATCACCGAGGCGGTGGTGTCCGCTGCAGGCTGCAAACCACATAAAAATATTGTAAATGGAACAGGGTGCTGGTAATTTGTTACCTTCATGTTGGTAGTTTGTTGACGACCTGCTGCCGTGACCCCTGCTGGGGCCGCCGTGACTCGAGGGCGTTCTGCCGACGGCTGTCGCGACTGGCAGACTGAAAACTGGGCAATGGAGGTGTTTTCCCGGCTACTGCTTAGATGTTAGAATGGTGGACGATGACCTGCTGGCCGAAAGGATGTTCACACAATCACAAGAAGGAGCTCAATATAGTTAGGCGTTCGTTGTCACGATTTTGATCATTATCCCTTCATCATTCCTCATCCTCATCCTCATCATTATCCCCACCACTCAGCCGTTATCGGCACGTTTAACCACGCTGCCTCACTTTGATTTTAGCTAAACTTCAACGCCACCTTCACCTTTACCCCTTCCTCTGCCAACCCGTCATCTCGCTTCCATCATAATATCCCTCAGTTCACTGTCGTCAGCGACTCTGTTGCCGTTATCATACCACCCCAGATGCTGCTGCCGTCAACACCGCATGTCATCGTGCACATTGTGTCAGCTGGTGACCGCCACTGTTGTCTATTGTGCACTCATTGCCACCGCCGCACGTGCCTTTGGAGGCGGCTGGTTGGAGCTACCTCAGGCAGAAAACCGCAGCCCTGGCGGAAAACTGACACCGGTGTGCCACCGCGGGGGCGGACTGTGTGGCTGGAACTCTGGGATGACGGAAGAGGATGTGGACGTGGACGTGAATGTGACTAAGGGTTACGGAGCTCCCTTATATTTAGCTAGGTAGAGGGACAAGCTACAATTTCGTCCTTTTTGTTTCTTCAGACCCTTTTGCTGGCTGCAAATACCGCTTTCCTTCGCCGAGGGTCTCTGCGTGCTTCTATTACAAATACAGGATGGCACAGCCTGCGACTGGGTGCTCATGGGCCTCCCTAACTGGCCACCTGGCCAGGGAAGTCAGTACAGGCGACTCCACCCATTGCACCCGCCCCACCCCGCCCCCGCCCACCGCCCAGCGTCGCCGGCGGCCACCGCCCTGCCGGCGTTTGAGCGAATTTAACACCGCTAATTACAGTTTGTTTGCTTATTCATGCGGCTCGCCGGGTACATAAGTAACTGGCCGGTCGACGCCGAGTACTTCCGTGACCGGCGGCGGCGGAGCGGTATTGTGCCCCACCGTGCACCGCCCGGTAAAAGAGCGCACATTATGCACCGCGTGGTTTATGGCTTCTCAGTGGCGCGGGTGGGCGGTTCGAGTGCGGGGGGGGGAGGGATGGAGGTCTCATGAGCCACCTGGACTGGGACTGCCTGAGGTCACTGCCGGGTAGGGCGTGGGAGCTTGGCGGTAGATGGTGATTATGGCAGGGGAGCTGAGGCTTCTTGCATTGAAATTTCTACCTTGGTGGATTGTGGTATGTGGTGCATGTGACTTCGAGCTCTGGTTGGTTTGTGGTAGCTGTAGTGGACAGTTCATCACCTCCGTCTTACAGTGCCTATTGATGAAAACATAAAAGTTCCGATAATAGTTGCTGACGTTCGATGACGCCCACTGCCGACACGGCGCGCTCGCTGATGGCGTCTGCGCCGGCGCTCTGATGACGTCTGCCGGCGCCCCGATGACGTCTGGCGGCGCCGCGCGCTGCCGCTGCAGAGGCGTGCAGACGGCGGCCCGTCTGCGCAGCGAGCCATTAGCTGCCGTGCTGCGCTGATAGGTAATTATTGCCGAACAGCGCGGCCGATTTGCATCAATTAGAGTATTAGCGGCGCCCGGTGGGGTCCGTCAGGTGCGGCCGGCCGCCGCCTCTCGTCGCCCGAACTGGACCCCGGCTACTGGGCACTGCAGAGTGCAGAGGCCGATCGAGTGAGCCGGGCGCCACAGAGACCCTGTGGAGGACTGCGAGGACGGTCCAGGACGAGCGCTGCGCGATCTTACCGCCTCTGAATGCCGACGCCTCTGTCGGCCGCGCTTTGAGCACTAACTGGGCGACTGTCGGGCGCGAGGGAGAGTGTTAATGAGATCGTGTTCATACCGGCAATAAGCGCTCCGCTCAGTGAGCTGTGGTTGGCGCCACCAGTGTGAACCGCCGTGCACAAAATTGAATGCGCTGGCCGGGTGCTAAGTTGCCAGTTCAGTTCGGTTATTCAATTGGCGTCAAAGGGCGCCTGCTTCATGACTTGCAATGGCCTGGTCATTGCGGCTGCCGGCATGCTATATTGTGCCATCAAGAAGGTCACCTTCGTCATACTGTCGGGGCATTTCCTGGCCGTCGCGCCGACCTGTATCGATCCGGCTCGTTGAGCCGCGCAGGGCTCAGGCCGCCTGGAGCTCTCGTTGTGGGCGATTTCTATTCTGTTTTATCATCTGCCCAGTGGCGACGGTAATAAATGGCTGGGACCGGGTTCCGTTACAGTGCCATTTCATTCGGCCGCCTACGGAAAGATAAGAGGCTGCCATCTGGTTCGGCGCCGTCGGCCTGACGCCGGCGCGACCGTGCGCGCTCCAATGGCCATTAGTGAGGCGCATGATCGAGCACGTCCCACTCACACTCGTGAGGTAATGTCCCGGTAAACCATTGCGCTATGGGCCTTTGTCTGATGGAGACCGAACCATTACGTTTTTAATTGTGTTCAAGTTTCTGTAGGCACATTCCTATATAGCATCTTTTTCTGAGAGTCGTTATATAGTTCAGCCAGGTAGCGTTCTGTTCCTTGCAATTGCAAGTAGGTAACAAAGGTGAGAGACACAAAGCTTAGCATATGGAAATGCATATTTGTATGTGGGTGTTTATTTGTTGCTAAGTCATTCACCATCTGTCGTCTAACGTAATTGGAGTCAACTGTGATCTGGTAGCCCGCTTTGACCTTGGTAGTTTTTTTTAAGCCTCCTGTGACGTTTCAGCTGATCTTCACGCTCCCCTGCTCAATCATCGTAACACCTTGGCCCCTCTTCCGTTCTCCGTTCCATCCGCGCTCTTCCCTCTGCCCTCTTCGCTCTCCATGGGTCCTGTTCTTCCTCACTCCTGCATATACCGACCTTCCCCGTGCCTCCGCGGCCGCACGGGGCGCTACCATCGACTCCTGCGGCGCGGCAGCAGACCAGCAGACCGGCAGAGCGGCCTCCTTACAGCTATTGAATTAGCACTAATTGTGCGCGGCTGGCGGCGCGGCGCCGTGCACGGGCGCATAATGGTACCGCTGACCAGGTGGGCCGGCCGGCCGGCCGGGGGTCGCTCTCCTCTGTCGAGGTGCGGCGCGTGCACAGAGTCTGAGGTGGCCGGCGTGCAGGCGGCAGAGCTCCGCTCACCCCACGGGGGTCACCCGCTCTCACACACACACACACACACACGGCACACTCACCGGGGCTGAATGGAACAGTAGATCGCAGCGCAATGCGGCGAAACTGGCGCCACACAATACGGAGTAGCGTAATCTGACGTAATACCGCAGCTCGGTGCAGCAGTGCAGCACAGTGTGTGTGCTATCACACAGCACAGTGGACCGGTGCGTACGGCTCGTTACGGTGACCCAAATGAGCGGTATGCGTGAAGCCGAGCACTGGCCACACTCTCGGTGGTGGCAAACAAAGGGATGAATCGCGTACCTGAGCCTGATGATCATTGGGAATAATTCGTGTGTTGTTTAGTTAGAAGAATCATAGGTATGAAGGTGATTGATTATTTTTTGGTATTTGTCTCTTCATTTTCCATTTTTGATGTTTTCTTTGGAGACACTTTAGCGTTTATGAGCAGGTTACCATCCAAGGTCACGTTGAGCAGAGTGTGACTCAACCTTCTCATGCATTCAAAGCCCTCGCGTGCTTCTTGCCCAAGGCTGCTGACCCTCCACAACCATCTCCACTCTCCAGTACCCCCTCCCCTCTGTCGGCCACCCACTCACCCCTCCCAGTCGGCCCTGTTGGCCCAACAGTGTCCATCTCGCTATCCTCACCATTAGTGAGTCGTACGCCGGTGGCGTGCGACCGTCGACTG